TATTTTTTTTCAATCATCGCTCCATATTCGTGACGACGTAGGCATTTGACCGGCTTCGGGCATGGCTTGTGGTCGCTGAACTATCATTTCGCCGGTGGAGAAAGGAAGCAATAGTTACTCGAATTGCTATAGTAGCGTAAAAATTCCACGTTATCCGCTAAGGTGCGTCTCATACTCGAGCTCTGTTAAACGTGTAACTCCTAGTCCCTTCACGGAAAACATGTACGGCTCAACTGTGAAGACTATCAGTTAATAAAAAAAAAAAAACGCGATCTAATGATCTTCCTCCTTGATGGTTTCGATTTAATTTTTTGTTGTGGCGCCTTCTTAGTTATCTACGAGACTGAGCGGCGACCTATTTCGCCACTCGCGGACTCTTGATACTGCAGCCGCCGATGCTCGAAGCACGCGCTGACGGCCGAATGTCGTGCCCCGTGTCATGCCCGCTTCTGAGCGTCTTCCCCTGGGAAGCGATTAGGAGGAGGAGGCGGCGGCTGCCGGAACCGGTTCGCCGAAACTTTTTCACTGACCCCGTGGGTCGATCCGGGGTCTGCATGCTCCTGCAGTCAAACTGCAGGGACAGAGGCGACAGGACAGCTCCGACACACGCTGCGCTGGGCTTACGCTCGTCGATATGCGTCGACTACTCACGCAGAGGGAGAGAGAGAAAGCGAATATTTAAAGGCCAGGTGACGTCCATGATCCAAGGAGTCCTCGGCGCTCAAGGACGGTGGCGCAAGTGGCCAACTCCGGTGTTTTTTTCTTTACTGCTGCGTCCATTGCCGGCCCTCGGAGAAGGACCGCACCCTCGAGCCATGACGTGGGCCGCTGGCCGGAGGTCTGCCCACTGCAGTGAAAATGGAGGCGAGGCCTCCGCGGCTTCTCTGTGTTTCTTTTTTATTATTATTATTCTTTTTTTTCTTTTCCCGCTTTGCAGTAAGCCTTCCCCAGCATCGAGTAACTCTCGATGGGGGCAAAAAGTGGGTTGTATATCTTCCGAATTGTCGCTGCTGTGGACAGTTTTCCTGTAAATCTGTTTCTGAATATGTTTCCGTCGTTTCTGACGGAATTGGGAGGTGTGAGAGAAGATGGACGATGGCACTGCGAGGAACCCGTGCGCTGCAACGACTCCAGTACAAACTTTTTCCTAACCAGTCCGACAGTGAGAACGGTTCGACCTCGCCCGTTCCGAAAGATCTTTCGTTCGAACCTTAACAGTTGCTTTGTGTAAGCGTGTCACCCATATTTGGAGGAAGCTGGCGTAGACAGGCACACTTGCTGGCACATATGCGCTGGGACGGGGCACACTTCGCTTGCCTTCTCACTGTTGTAAAGCCTCGAATGATTTTGTATTCCCCGAATGCTGTACGTTCACTTGGGCACGTGATACGTTTTTTTTTTATGTAAGGAAGGATCGAGTAGCACCTGTCTTTCAGCTTGTGTGTTTTTTTTTATATAAAATAATCGGCAGTGGTCACTGAGTGTACTTCAGGTGTCGGCATTGGTATAGGAGAAAGTCATTGTGACTCTTATTCGTTTTTTTTTTCTGTCACAGTTATGTCCATATGAATAAATATGAGCGCTCATTGTGCCATGTGCATCCCAGAAATTCACTGATGTGTTCGTACTCACTACATTCGTGTAGAGTTAGTCGTCTTTCGCACTCATTTGGCGTTGCCTCATGGTGTGCCTTTACGGGCGCAGCAAGAACGTGCGTTCCAAGCGTTCGTCATCCGTTGACGCTGCATTGATTGTGAATCAGACCGGGATTAAGGCGCTTACTGGCCTGCTCAGCAACACTTTTTCTTCATTTTCTTTTCTTTTTTTATTGTGTATATGCTCTTACTTGATGCTGCTCTGCGTCATTTGGGTTTCGAGAAATATTGCAGCCCATTTCCGGATTAGGGGAAACGTTTTTTGTTGCCTGTGGCGTCGCTACGCTGTCGTACGTGTGCTTCATACCTGTTCAGGTGCATGCCGCCGGCGAGCTTTCTTATCTTTCGTGATCGAAGAATTCAGCGGTGCTTTGGTTCGTAACGCGTGCAGGGTTGCTACGGTGACGCTTTTCTTTGGTCGAAATGGTGTCTTCTAAGCAAGGAAACGAGCCGGACGTTTCTTTGCTTATGTTCAGGACAGTCAGAGCTCCTTGATGATAGGTCGCCTCATCCAGGCGAACCCTATTGGGCCTCCGCGTTTCGCACACTGCTGCGGGCGGTGGGGAGGGGGGTGTTCCTCATCAGCACAGTCCGCGGGCCGATGTGTTGAGTGTCCCAAAAGTGGCGTGCAGTACAGGCGGGTGAAGCCGTGCTCTGTCCGCGAAGATGTCACGGCAGACTCTAGCCATATGGGTCTCTTGTGGCATCGCAGAGGTAGGAGTAGTATGGGGTCTAACCAGCATGATAATGATCTACGCGTGTTTTTTTAAAAGGGTGTCTTAGGAGACAGAGTTACGTCACGCACAGTATTCTGCCTTCGGTACCTGCTGCACGTTACTGCTTTGCGAGAGGGGCAAGCGTGCAACGTGGTCGGACCGGGACGTGTGGCCTTGGGCGATCCGCGCGGCATCCCTTTGCCCGCGGGACCGGCCACTTCTTGCTGGCCAACGATCAATGGCCGGTACCGACCTCTCCGTGGCTTGAGCAAGGAGGAGGGCCGCCTACTACGTTGCGTGAGCGGGTCGGACGCCGGAACGAGAACCAAGAGGGGAACGAGTCATAGCCGGGACGGAATTAATGAGGACGAGAGGAGCCGGACGCGTGGCCGAACGAACGATGGAGCGCTCTGGGTGCTTCTTGGACCGGCCCTGCTGCAATCAGCGGGCGAACGGCCGTTTGTGATGGGCTGGGGGGGGGGGGGGTCACGTTGTGCCGTGGCTATTAGGGCAGCTCCGAGGACAGCCGGAAGCCTCGCAGCGGACTCGAGGTGCTGAAGCATTTGGTCGAATGATGCGATGTCGTCCGTCTTCCACACTTCTCGCCTCATGTTTCCGCACCTTCATTTTTTTTCTTAGTACATAGGGCCCGTAGCGGCAAGCGTATGGCGGAATTGCTGGTTACGTATTTTTCAAGTGTCTACCGATCTCTCATTTGTTTTTGTTTTTTGTGTGTGGGGAATTCGTGGCTGGTTCTTTGCGCCCGTCGGTCGATTGTATCATTGCCATCGGCAGCGTACAGTGAATCTTACTAACACTGACGCCTTGGGTTTGCCAATGCCGGTATAGACGACATCCGGAAGAAATGCCTGACCTGGGAAACCCTTACGGAGCTCAAGCCGTGCTTCGTGGCTTACTTTGCTCTTTATAGCGCTCGCGATCACGTCCGCGTCGCACTACTAAATACAGGCTGCACGAATTGACGTAGCTGTGTGTGTCATATGCCCTGCGAGGCAAGTGTCGCTTGTGTTGCGGAAGCGGTCCGGGACACGCCCCGGAGATGGGGCCGATCGAACGAGACGCCCTAGCGGCGATGTCTCCGAAAGCGTGACTGCAAACGTCAGAGTCGCAGCCGCGACAGGCTCGTGACTGCGGGGCCTACTTGCGTATGCCGGAGGATTCGAGCACGAAGGTTGCGTGACGTTGCCTGCGTGCAAGGGTACTTGTGAGAAGGACCCGAAACTCGGGAGGGCTGTAGCGACATTTTGACGCTCGATTGTGTACCGCCCATGCAACTCAACTTGACTGTCGGGGCCACGAAGCCTAAATATGGCTGGGCCAATGATCCCCGTTTCTTCGCTTCACTTTATATGACGCGCGATGCGTTGTGCACGCGAGTGGTCGCAGCTTATTTAGAAGAAAGACGGAACGAAAAAAAAAAAGGAAGCTGCATTCCGCGGAGGTGCGTAGGAATAGTGTTATGATTCGAGGCATTCCGTAAGATAGGCTTTCGCGGCGGCGTCTGACTGGGACGGAGAAGGCTGCGCGACGGCGTCATTGCGCTTTGTGCCGGCTCGTTGTTGACTGCATGCATTGGGGCATGTCACTATAAAGTGGATTCGCAGTGGGGGCTGCTGGTGAGGGTCGTTTCCTCCTCTTCCTGCGTTCCAGGCTCTGGTTTCCAGTCACACGGAGTGAGAGAGAGAGAGACGCAGTGCTTCGATGTGCGCGAGAGAGCGGGAATAGGAGAGGTTGCCCACCGTAGAAGTGACCGGCCTTCTTCTGTTGGCTTGCATTCCCGTAGGGATGGAGGAGGAGGAGGTAGTTCTTTCTGTAGCTGTGCTTTTCATCCACGCCGCTTGGGCAAGGGCGGGGAAAGTGGGCGCATTGCTTCTGCCGCCGCCGCCTGGCTGCCCGACCGGCCAAGGAGACGCTGTTGGCCGCCGCTTCTTTCGCCGTCGCTTCGCAGCTAGCAGCCGGATACGTAGCAGCGTTTCGCCGAGGCGGACCGGCCCTCGTCCGCGCAGCACATCGCGAAGGAAGTTCGGCTGGCTCGTCGAAAGGCTTCACCACCGACCGCCGTGACTCGTGGAACGCTTGCACGCTGACCGTGTGATGCAACGTGGCCCCAATACGACGCATCGCCTCCTGCCATGAAGGTTCTTCGACGCGGACCGCCTCCGGCGTTGCTCGATTGACGTGTTGCTCGCAGGACTCAGTGAGGGGCGCGCCCGATAAGCTGGCCGTCTCTCTGTTCCGACCACCGTGACACGCTCGGGCGACGTGCCGCAGCGGCGCTGCTGTCACTCTTCTTATCCTGCGTCTTGATCCCGGGACGGTTTTGTACTTATCGTCGTGTGTGCATCGCCGGAGCTACTGCGCGGTATCTGATCTGCTATCGCCGCCTTCACACCCTTTGTCGTGTGACAACACGCTGAACAGCCAGGAGTTAGTGCTATGCACCGAGAAGCTCTGTGTCGTCATTCAAGGCATGGATAGGGCGACGGCGTTTTCGTGACTATTCGCATCGACTCGAGACGAAGTGCATCGCGGTCTGTGCGTATTGCGCTTGTCGGTCGGGTTGCCGCGAACGACCGCTTCGTGGCGACGCGTGTCGGAGTTTCAAATATTCTCCCGGTCGGACGGCTGAAAGTGGAGGCTTTCGTGGCCTCGCCCAGGTTGACAGCGACCGGCCAGGACATCGGACTACGCCGGCGGCGTTCCGCCATGGTGGGCCTGGCGAAGACGTCTTCCTCAGCCGGCTTGTCGGCATCTCGTGCCGACCTGTTTCGGACCGTCTCATCGGCCGGTGCCGCCGCGCTTATGGGCGGCGGAGGAACTGGAGTTCATTATCTCGTCGAGCTTTGGAGAAACGTAGGTATTTTTTTCGCCTGTGCGCGGTGCGTCACATTTCTCTCTCAGTTCGTTGGTTGTCCGAAGTTTGCCTTCGCCGAAAAACGTGCAGGCATTCTTCCAAGTGCGAACCTTGCGTCGCGTGATTGCGTGCCTCTGGATATTGCTGTTGCGAAGTGCCCCCCGGCTTGCAAGGGGGCCGCTTGGCAGCAGTTCCCGTCCCGATGGCAGGTTCGTCCGCATTCTTTCGTCAGCGGTAATTCGCTGTACCTGCGCGCTGCACACTGCAGGTGGGAGGAGGAAATGGGACCGTTCGTCTGTTTTGTTTCTCAAGCACGAAACAGTAGATGTGTGCGGGCGTGCCCTTCATACACACGAGCACGAAGGCGACTCTTATGGAATGGTTACTCTATAGCTTCCGTTGACAGTTAGCTCTCCTCCTTCATGTTTCTGTGACTGCCGTTCAGGTCTCGGCTGCTCGCGCTCGAGTTACAATACAGCAAATATTTTCCACTCCCTTCTTTCCTTTTCAGTTTATATTTCCAACAATAAATGACGACTTACCACCGTTTCTTCATCGGTGCACAACTCGGAGAAAGATCAGCACAAGGCCTCAACGGTCGCCTGTCCCGATCTTTTTCTGCGGCTGACGTACCTCGCAACCTTCGTGGGGCGAAACGCTGTCTCTAGGCGCCTAGGAGAGTGGACTCGACACGAACCTTATTGTAGCCTGTGCACTCAATCCAGCACAGATAAAACCGGTAGTCGGCGAAATATGTCTTGCATTTCGAGAAATGCCTAGCGTCGAGAAGCAATGAACTGCGAGCGATTGATAGTGGAGATTTTTGTTAATAATGCAAATGGCATTGGGGCTGTAGAGAACCACCTGGATGAATACCTGTAGCTTGCATACAGGTGGGTCTTGACAGCTGTATCGCTTGCTGCGGATTATAACATGGATTGGCTCGAAGCCTGTTTTAGGCAAGTGAGGCTCACTAAGGAAACCTCACTTGCCAACTTCCACATTGAGTTGAGTGGGTCTTGTGGCTTGACTTGATCTAGTATATAGTACTCAATGACGTAACAGTTTTGGGCTGGTGCTTCTCACCAAATATCACTGGGCATTCTATCGCTTGAGGCGATGTATGCGCTTGGTGTTAACCCCACTTAATCATTGACGATGCTTTCTGCGGCTGTGAATGCGTCCCTGCAGTCTCGCTAGCGCATTTTGCGTCGGCATCGCAAATGTCCCGAAGCTGCGGCATCTGTATGGACAGATGTCGCTGCATGACCGAACGCATGTAACTGCGTTTTTTTTTTTTTTTGTAAGCTATTGGTACGTTGGAATTAGCATGGCTAATCCCGTATTTCTGTCGGGTTGCGTCCGTCGTGGTTCAGGTAACACTTGGGCTTTTCTTTAACGGAAGTATCTTTCGACGGGAGCTGCTGCTGTTGGCACGAAACGCATTCCAGGTGCGTTTGATCTCCTGCTACAATAACGCGACCACTCGTGAAAGGGCAGCTAATGGTGGTCCTCCGTGGAAGGACTTCTTGGCTTTGTGTTTAGATTTTTTTATATGCACGCTATGTAGCGGTAAAGGCACTTATACACACGTTGGCACCTCCTTGGAGGCCAGTCTTCCGGAAGGAGAGATTGCTGCCCGGATAAGGAGCTGGTTCCTTGGAATGGATTGCTGCCGACAACAAAAGCCTTGCCAAAACGCCGCTGCTCCTTTTGTCGGCGTTGACCGTCGCCCCCCCCCCCCCCCCCCATTCATTGTGCGCACCACCTGCGTGCTGTGTACGACGCGGGACGTTTCTCGTCCGGGCTGCTTTGGAATCCCGTGTGCTCGGTCCTCGCTTGTATTTATTTTATTTTTTTGCCCCCTCCCCCTCAATGTCTTGCCTTCTGTCTGTCTGTCAGTTTCTTTAGTTGTGTTCTTGCGCAAAATTTAAAGCGCGCTGCACGTCCATTGTGCTTCGAGTGCGTATAACAGCCAGCGAGAATGCATGTTGCTGAGAACATACGGGCCGTGGCGAGGGCAAGCTTCACCGCGCCATTCCGGATTGTTTGTCTTGCTCACGGGAAAGGATGGACGTGTTCTCCCCCCCCCCCCCCCCCTTTTTTTTTTCCGACGTAGGGTAGAACGCAAGCGACGCCAGCGTGCGAGCAACGATTAGGGCCCGTGTTTTTTGCTGACCCGCCGACCAACTGGCTGCTTGGCGGGTCACTGCGCTCAACCCGTTGTCTGTCAAACCTCGTGGCTTGGCTGTCTACTTGGCGTGTTGGGGCTCAAGTGGGCTATCTTTCTTCTCTGTCTGCGGCCAGTTACACTTTTCCTACTGCTTCGTGTTTGAAGATAATATGCTGCGTACGAGGCATTACATGGCGTGTTGGTGGCATGCGGTATTATGCGCGTGCTAAGGTTGAGAACATACGGAATGAAATCAAGTTTCTAAGTGTAATTGAGCACTCTTAGAGCTCGGTCGCGCTAGGCGCTGCGTCATATAATGGAGATGCTCATACAATCCACCCGTGTGTCATTGAGGAGTTGGCATTTTAGTCGAAACCTCGGAAAGGGGGGTCCCTAACCTTAACAAGGATACGTTCGTTTGATAGTTCGTTTCCAGTCGCGTTGTTTCGTGCTAGTAGGTTATGGGGAAAAGTTTTTTTTTTTTTTTGAAGGGTGGGGACAGGCACATGGTATACCGAGTGTGCCACGCCCTGACTGCTGTAATTCCGTAACTTATCACGTTTTGTCATGTGGAATATTGTAAACTAAAATATTAAACAACTATTCAAGATCGAAGAGTCGGCCCTTTTGAAGTTTTACTGTAGACACTGTATGGTATGTCTTGCAGTTTGCGAATCTGCCATGTAGCTAATGCACTAAGCGGGGAACGGTAGGCGATCTGGCCTCACTTGCCGCCTTCGCTTTGTGTATGTTCTCTCGGTGTTTTTATGTCTTGCGCATGCTTCGTGGCTCATGTCAACCGTCGTGCCGGTTAGACAACAGGGACCTGTATGGCAGGAGTTGCGATGTCATGAAAGTAAGAAGCGGTGCGCACGGCACGCCTTTGCTTTGTGTCTACACTGGTCCAGGTATAGGTTCTGTCTTAGGACAGAAATGACTGACAGAGGCTTAAAGAATTGCAGTTATCCATTTTGCATGCAGGGATACTGTAACCGCTGAGTCTAGCCGTCACTTGAAAGTGTGGCAGCTTGGGCTAGTTGGTATGGCATGACGATAGTTATAGCGCGAGAACAAAACGATGGCACAGAGACACGAAGGACACGAGCGCTTCGTGTCCTTGTCGTCGTTTAGTTCTCGCGCTGTAACTATCGTCTAGCCGTCACGTTTCCAAATTTCCGTGTGCACGACGTGCTTGGTATCGACCTCGGGCTGCCCCCGGTCATCGATGTTCTTTTGTTTAATTACTGCTATTGGGGCGTGTGCCTTCGCTGCGGGCACAAGATGGCGTGCGTGATGTATCGTGAGGCCAGGCCCGCTGCTGCCGTGAAGCCCACCCGCCGAGCTATATTGACGTTGTTCAGCCTGTCCGTCGTGGCTCGGCCAACCAGGCGCTCCGATTCTCGGCTGGACGGGCGCTGCCTAGGGGCGTGGTGCCCACTCTTTGCTCGGCCGTGGGTGTCTGTGTGGAAGAAAAAAAAGAAAAATTGCCGCCCTGAGACGGGACATGCCAATGCTCGCGGTCGTCGGTGTCCGCAGATTGCCTTCGCCCTGAGCGCCCACGCTCTCCGATCCAGATAACGGGTTAGACCGCAGCGTGCAGGAAAAAAAAAAATATATCAAAGCAGAGGCGCACACGTTCTTGCGACACGTACGCCGAAAGGAATTTTCTTTCGCACGAATTGTGGGCGTAAATGCATTTCGATTTCGACGCGGTGGGTAACGTGTTTCTGCGCGACAATATTTATTTATTTATTTTCGGTACTGCCAGTCTCATACGAGACCAAAGCAGAAGGGCATCAGTTCTTGGATACACAATACAGTTTTCAGTTTCACGTTTATACAGTGGCATATTTGTCAGAACGTCTAAGAATGGCTGGAGGCAGAAATGCCTGTAGGGGTCTCAAGGCGAAATTCAATAAGTACATTCTGAAAAAATTGCGTTAATTGTGTACAAACACTGAGCAATTGGTACATACTTAAAGACGGCACAGAAGACAGCTCTTATCTAGTAGACAACACTAGTTGTACACAAACACAAGAGCACTGGGAACAATACACCAGAAAAATACACACTTAGGTAACTTTGAACCAGTTACTATGTGTGCTATGTGTACGTTGCGGACACCGTGACGTATGCTCCCTGCACGAAAAATGCGCATTAACTGACCACGACATCTTTGCGCTGACGGTCATTAATTTCCAAATAAACTTAGCTGTAGCTGTCATCATTCGCGCCAACATCCCCAGTGCGGCCGCGTTTTTTTTTTCTTTTCTACTAATGTGGTGTCGTACGGGCGCTTTTGATCGCGACCATGTCTTGTCTGAATGTTTTTTTTTTTTGCTCTTTATTGGTTCCTTTATGCAAGCTGCAGAAGGAAGCCAGTGACGATCTGCTGTACGCAGCGTGTGACACCGGTAAAACGTTCGTGAATACTGCACGGCGTAAACGGGCACGCTCGTGTGAAAGAAACATTCCGCAGCATTCTGGTGCAAACCTCTCGGAACGTTTTAAGAGCGATTCGCCTATACATTTTTTTTTTCTCTTCTTCATGCTCTCTAAAACGTTTTCTGGAGTAACTGAGGAGTTACCCCGAAAAGGGCGTTTTGCTCCCCCTTAGGACAAAGATAAGTCGTATGAACCTATATAAAAAAGTATTGCATTTTCTGCTTATTATGATAGAGTTTGCGGTTGCAAGATTTTGGCCTGCTAAATAAGGAAATCAACTCATGCTTCATTCTAATCTGCTTAGCCGTAAGGGTGAGCTTGAAGGCAACATCTCTAAGCGACCACCCGTGAAAGAGTGCAAAAGTTTGCACACGGCGAGG